GAATATGTGTTGGGGAATAAAACGCAATAACCTTATGTTTGATAAATATATAGTTAGTTCAGGGTTTGAAACTCAGTTTGCATTAGGCTTGAGAATTAAACCCAAGTTCTTGAATTTCATGAAACTCACCGGGTGTGAGTTTCATTTGTGGGGTTAATGGGTTTAAGCTAACAAATGACATTTATACCCTCATATATCCCATATACGTAAACAAACATGAGTTTAGATTAAATTGATTAAAAGGCATAATAGTCATTTATATACAAATATATTATCATAATAGTCATATATCTGTGCGCATACCAAATATGGGTATGAACGGTATTTAATGTTGGAATCCGATCTTTGAGTTTAGTAAAATTTGGACAAGTCAATCTAAATTTCTCCTAAAAACACATACCAAATAGGCTCTAAATGGCGAGAGGGAAAACACCAAAAGGGCGGATTACACTATTAACCCTTGAAATACGGTGATGATATCAATTGACAGTGATGACATGATATCACTATTATATTAAATATTTTTTTATTAGTTTGACGGGGGAGGGGGCATGAATAATTTGCCTAATACTACTTAAACATCATTGGGATACGTATTATACTATTAACATTACATTTAATATCCATTATTAATTGAAACTAATGAGATTCAAAATAATATTATTTAAAAAAACAAGGAAAGAGTTTTTAATTTCAACTTGGCGAATTAGCAGGGCCAGGCTACGCCATGCTCATTNTATTGGATGGTCGATTTGGTCTGACTCAGAAAGCTCCCTTCAGAGCAGAGCATAGCAAGTTGATGTTAACAAACACAACTATTTGTAGAATTGTCACTATTTTTTTTTTTTTTTTTGAATTGTCGTTCTATGTTCAATTTCATTATTTTCGACCTAATAATTGCCAATAGAAACAATAAAAAATATGACTATGGGAGACAGATTGTCTTCACTTAGGACAATACAAAGAGGGAAGTATGCATTATGGAATATGCTATGCATTCTACTGTCAAGACAGGCTGAAAACATAATAAGGCCCTGTTTGTTATGTGTGTGTGTGTGTGGTGGGGGGGGAATACTCCACATATAAATTCCTATTCTGCTATGTGTACAATGATGCAAAACAGTATAAAAATTACAAAGATAGTACTTTTTTTTTTAATTTAATTCAACGATCAAGGGTGTTTAACACACATTTCTCCCTAATTCGGTCAAAGACAGATCATCCACACTAAGACTAGTATATTCACTCAAAANTATTTTTTCCTGTTAGATCGACAATAGACTCTACTATTAAAGAGTGATTTAAATCCGAACTCTCACAAAAAAAAAACTCAAATCCCATAAAGTAATATTAAATTGACTAAAAAGTATGATAATAAAACAATCAAATGATATGATATCAATGTGATAGTGTTTAAATTAAAATTTAAAACAAATATCAAATCAATATTTAATATAAGTCATAAAATTTTAACTCAAAAAAATCAAGCATAAATTTAAACTACTATCTGGTTAGCATCGTAATGTTCTTTAAACGACACCACATTAATATCATCTCTTTTTATCTTTAAATTTAATCTTATTTTCCGATCAATCTTATCATTATTCGCTAACTCTCTAACGTAATATTCTTTCTTTCCCTCTGTGAACTTGAAAGAAATCAACAAGGTTAGTCAATGCTTGAGTAAAAGGAAGTGCACAGTATAGTGCGAATTCAGATTGCATGCCATAGTTTAGATTCCAGAAGGGTATTTATACCTCAATTCGCATTGATGTCTCCTTATTTGGAGTCGTATGCTAGAATTTAATAGTTTAGGCTCACAATTTAGCGTAAGAGGTATTATTCTATCACATCTCATTAATGCCAAACCCTCAAATATCTGAATTTGTTCTCGAGAACATAAGTGAGCATTCATTCATGGCTCACTCTCCATCTATTGAGTACTCTACATAAATGCTAGCAGCAGGCGATCGAGTCTTCACGAGAAGTTATTAAATTTCTGAACCCTGAGGGCTCCCCTGGTCTAATAATTATTAAGAAAAATACTATGTAATTTAAATTTATAACTCAAATTTGTATTTTAAATGAAAGAGATTATTGGATAAATGAGCTTCATCAATTTTGACTTATTGATTCAAGGATTCTCCTTTATTTGAAATATAAATTTATATTATAAATTTCGATTCAATAACATTATTCAATTATTAATATTATATAATAACGATGGCTTTATGTTTTTTTGGAGAATTAAACAGTTACTAATGGCCCTCCATACCAACATGAGCTGTACTAATGAGTTGTCACGCTTTTTATAATGTCCAATTCCAAGTAACATTGTCGGCCCTGATTACTCTACTTGCTGGGTATCTGGTGAATCGCATGCGCCTCGACAGCTGTACAGTGCCACGAGTTAAATTGCCGTTGCCTGGCTGCCTAGTATCCCGTCACTCTGGTTCATGAAAACTTTTCTCAGAGACCCTCTGTAATATTTTCTCTTTTCTCCCCTCTAGACCCCTCGTTTCACCTTTGAGATGGGTAATGAAGAAAAAGCGGGTGACACTTTACCTCTGCCTCCTCATGTTCTCATCTTTCCATTACCTTTGCAAGGTCATGTGATCTCCATGCTCAAGCTAGCCGAGCTTCTCTCCATCTCCGGCCTCGACGTCACCTTCCTCGCCTCCGATTACAACTACGGCCGCCTCCTCCGCCACGCCAGTGTCCAGTCCCGTTTCGCAAAATACCCTGGATTCCAATTCGCCACCATCTCTGACGGACTTCCGACCGACCACCCGCGTTCCGGGGATGTAGTGTTGGACATTATGATGTCTTTGAAAGCTTGTGGATATAGTCAATTCAAGGAGTTAATGGTCTCCACGAATTGCTTTGGTTCTTCTACTAGCGATCGAAGGAGGCGGCCTATCACTTGCCTCATAATGGATGGAGTGTTGAGTTTTGCTGCCATTGTTGCTGAAGAGATTGGTTATCCATACATTTATTTCCGAACAGTTGGGGCTTGCTCTTTCTGGGCCAATTTCAATATTCAGCAAGTTATTAATGCTGGAGAAGTTCCTCTCAGAGGTACATTATTGCCGTTTGGGGGTTTTACATCTAGTCCTCTCTGACAACCCTTTTCATCAAAAAAAAAAATTGCATTTTAGATCTTTAATGCGATTAGGATTTGGATATTAATTGATTTTGTTTACAGGGAAGGACGAGGACAAAGTGACTTACTGGAGAAAAGAAGAGATGGATCTATCTGTAACAAGTGTGCCGGGCATGGAAGCGTATCTCCGGCGGCGAGATCTCCCGGCGTTTTTCCGAGTCAATGACGTGAATGATCCGGTCTTCCAGACCATCAACATTGAGACAAGAAGAAGCACTAAAGCTAAAGCACTCGTACTCAACACATTTGAAGACCTGGAAGGAACAACCCTCAATGAAATTCGAAAACATTGTCCAACTGTCTTCTCCATTGGACCACTCCATGCCCACCTGAAAGCCCGCGTCGGAGAGTCACCTACGCCGTCCTCCAACCATTCAGGTAGTTTCTGGGAAGAAGACCGGAGCTGTGTGACTTGGCTTGATTCACAGCCACCAAAATCAGTGATTTATGTGAGCTTTGGAAGCGTTACTCTTCTAACGAGAGATGAACTCATGGAGTTTTGGTATGGTTTAGTAAACAGTGGGCAAAAGTTTTTGTGGGTAATGAGGCCGGACTCCATCGTCGGGCAAAATGGAGATCGTCAGCTTCCGGCCGAGATTGAGGAGGGTACGAAGGCAAGAGGGTACATCGTGGGTTGGGCTCCACAGGAGGAGGTCTTAGCCCATCCTGCCATTGGTGTGTTTTTAACTCACAGTGGGTGGAACTCGACTCTGGAAAGTATGTTCGCCGGTGTTCCAATGATTTGCTGGCCTTACTTTGCTGACCAGACGATCAACAGTAGGTTTGTGAGTGAGGTTTGGAAGATTGGGCTAGACATGAAAGATAGTTGTGACAGGGTTGTGATTGAGAGGATGGTGAGAGAGACTATGGAGTTGAGGAGGGATGAGTTGTTGGAGAGAGCTGATCATATGGCAAAATTGGGAAGAAAGGCTATTAGTGAAGGTGGGTCATCGTACTGCAATTTGGATCGTCTTATTGAATTCATAAGGTCGATGATTGTGTGATCATGTCCAAGCTTAAAATTGATTGCAGATTGATTATTAAGAGGGGTTTGAGTGCAAAGTCTGAATGGAATGAAGAATGAGTTGTTGATCGATGACTGTGATTTAGATTTTTCTTTTATTTTTTAGCAATCTTATCGTGATTTAATTAGGGTGTAATTCAATTTTAATTAGAACTCACTTTTTAATTTAATTATTACATCGAATTGAATTTTTAAATTAAGTTTAAATAATATTTTTTATTTTTTTTCATTGGTTGATCATTTACGATATTGAGTGCGTAGAATTCACTTATAAATATTGAGTTTTTAGCAAAAAAGTGGGACCATTTTTGTTAATAACTCCCAGGCAAAGACTTTTTAAGTCATTTAAACCCAACACAGCTTTTTTTGTGTTCAAACAAATCTCTCTTTAATATTATAATATTTACCCCTGTTCTGTAAATTTTACGAAAGTCAAATAAACATTAAACATTACAAAATTGAATAAATAAGATTCGGGTTAATTACAAATTACATTTTGAAAAATTGTTCGAATTTTAATTTGTATCCTCAAAGATCAAAAATTTTAATTTACACCCTCAAAGACATAAATTTGTATCAATGTGCACCCCCAAAGATCAAAAATCTCAATTTATACCCTTAAAGATAACAATTTATATCAATTTGTACCCTCAAATATAAAAATTTGTATCAATGTGTACCTAAAACTAAATTGATAAATTATACCTAGATTCCTTTATGTTTGTCACTTAATCATTTGGACCCTTTCACATTTAAAATATCACACCTACATCTCATGACGTTTGTGCAAGTGTAACACGTAACCCCTTTTTTGTTGATATCTGTTAATATAATCGTTAAAAAATATGATTTTATCCTAATAAAAAATTATAATTTTATATTATCCTTTATTTTTTGGGTCCAATATACTCTAAAGTTCAAAATCAAGTTTACCATTTGAATGTCCATTTGTAGATATTTATATAATATTTTTTATATCCAATGTAATATATCACTCAATATGCAACCCTTTATTTTATTAAACATTCAAATAATAAGTTTGATTTTGAATTTTAGAGTATATCGGACCCACAAAATAAAAAAACGTAATATAAAATTATAATTTCTTTGTTAGTGTAAAATCATATTTTTAACGGTTATATTAACATATATCAACGAAAAGGGATTACGTGTTACACGTGCACAAATGTCATGAGATGTAGGAGTAATATTCTAAATGTGAAGGGGTTCAAATGATTAAGTGACAAACATGAAAGAATCTAGATATAATTTATCAATTTAGTTTTAGGTGCACATTGATACAAATTTCTATCTTTGAGGGTACAAATTAAAACTTTTGATCTTGGAGGTCTAAATTGATATTCAAACTATCTTTTGTGGTATAACTTACAATTAACCCATAAGATTATATAAAATTTAAAATTTAAATAAAGATATTTTAAAAAAATTATTAAATACAATCAAACCTTATTTAAATTTCAAATATCAAACAATCAATTCAAAAAGTGAAAAAAAAATAGACACCGACAAACACATATATACAAATATATACATTGAAAAACATTTCACGCATGTTGAATGCAAACTTCACGCATGTTTTCCCTTAAAAACATTTGAAAAAAATATATTTTAATGGATCTTACTCCCCTTCAATTTTCAAAAAATTTCCTCAAATTATTACTAATTTTTACAACAAGTAATTGTTTTAATTGTGTGTTTTAAAGTTTCTGGTCACATTGCAAACTCTGAAGGTAAAGGAGTGGCACAATAACACTTCAATTCTTCCACACCGAATTATCATGATGGATCTGACCAAAAAAAAAATGAAAGAAGTTATCATGATGGACTTAATAGGCATGTTGTATGCTTTTTGCTTTGGTCACAATCTTTTAGGCTTCCAAGCAACGCTTGGTGTTTCTATACCTCGATTTTGTTGCTCATAAGAAGACTTTTCATGCCACAGAACTTGACAGCCCACAACTTAGACAGGTGGCTACGACCGTTAATAAAACTCAACTATTTGCATTTGGCTGGTGTTCGATTTGGATTCCGTTTGTTTTTTAAACAAATTTGAATTTAAATAAATTTTTAGATTCGTTTAAAAAATAAGTTCTATAAATTCGATTCAAATTTGACAGGCTCGGCTTGGGCTCGACTTATTTTTATTTTATTTAGTCTCGGCTCGTTTCCTAAACAAACTAAATTTGAATAAGAAATAAATTTTTCAAGTTTAGTTCGAACTAGATCGACTAACCGCTCTATCAATGACAACCATTTTAAATTAGCCTAGGCCTGGGCCTATCTATTCCTCCTTTTACTTGAGGCCATATCACTTGTTTCTTCCATCTGACCACTTGTCTGTAGGATTGTTAATTGAACAAGGTCGAGTCGAATTTGAAAAATTTGTTTATTAATTGAGTTTAAAAAATTATTTAAATTTGACTTGTTTAATAAACGAGCTGAGTATAAACGAGCTAAAAATAAATTGAATTTGAGCCGAACCTGAGTATTTGTATATAAACGAGTTGAATCTGTTGAGTTTGAGCTGAGCTCGTAGGGGTTGTTTTATAAATTAATCTAAAAACTTGTTCAAGTTTGGGGCTCACTTAGAAAACGAATCGAGTCTGAACGATCCAACTCGAGCTGAACTCAAGTCAAACTTGAGTAGCTCAATTTGATTAACAGCCTTACCTGTTGATGAATTTTGTACGATAAAAATTGATGGGTCAAGCCCAAATAGTCCAATATATGTGAGAAGTCCAACCCCAATTGAGGAGTCCAACCTCATGAAAAATCCACCAAGCCTAATANACGACCGTTAATAAAACTCAACTATTTGCATTTGGCTGGTGTTCGATTTGGATTCCGTTTGTTTTTTAAACAAATTTGAATTTAAATAAATTTTTAGATTCGTTTAAAAAATAAGTTCTATAAATTCGATTCAAATTTGACAGGCTCGGCTTGGGCTCGACTTATTTTTATTTTATTTAGTCTCGGCTCGTTTCCTAAACAAACTAAATTTGAATAAGAAATAAATTTTTCAAGTTTAGTTCGAACTAGATCGACTAACCGCTCTATCAATGACAACCATTTTAAATTAGCCTAGGCCTGGGCCTATCTATTCCTCCTTTTACTTGAGGCCATATCACTTGTTTCTTCCATCTGACCACTTGTCTGTAGGATTGTTAATTGAACAAGGTCGAGTCGAATTTGAAAAATTTGTTTATTAATTGAGTTTAAAAAATTATTTAAATTTGACTTGTTTAATAAACGAGCTGAGTATAAACGAGCTAAAAATAAATTGAATTTGAGCCGAACCTGAGTATTTGTATATAAACGAGTTGAATCTGTTGAGTTTGAGCTGAGCTCGTAGGGGTTGTTTTATAAATTAATCTAAAAACTTGTTCAAGTTTGGGGCTCACTTAGAAAACGAATCGAGTCTGAACGATCCAACTCGAGCTGAACTCAAGTCAAACTTGAGTAGCTCAATTTGATTAACAGCCTTACCTGTTGATGAATTTTGTACGATAAAAATTGATGGGTCAAGCCCAAATAGTCCAATATATGTGAGAAGTCCAACCCCAATTGAGGAGTCCAACCTCATGAAAAATCCACCAAGCCTAATATAGTCCAAGACCAATTAGACTCTTTGCTTAGCCACGTCATCAAGGGGGAGAGCATGTGAAGTTTTATCTGCACCACCGAAGGAAACGGTCCATCTTTGACCGCATCTCATGAAGAGCTCCTCAACCACCTCGCTCGTTGAGAAGAGATTTGGAGCTCCACCGAAATAGTTGCTTAGTCGCTGGAAAGTAGCCCCAACCTGTTAGGGGGCCACTATAAATTGCACGCTACATCAACACTTGGAAGGGGACTGATTGCTTGGCACCACACCTTCCTTGATTCTCTATTCTCCCTCGAAGCTTGTATTCTCTATCTCCATACCCCTAAATTAATAAAGTACTCGACAACGAAAGTCATTCAAAAGTGGAGGTAGGTCGAGTTGACCGAACCACTATAAATCTTGTCTCCTCCAATTCTTTCTTTACTTTTACTGCATTTGTTATTTACACTTGACAGATGGTGTTCAAAACCATTTTTGTGCATCATCAGTTTGGCGGCGTCTGTGGAAACTGACAAAATTTTCACTCTTGAACATTACATCCACTAAACCAATGGCGATCACTACCCGATCCATGAACCAAGCTGAAGACAATCCTCCACAAGAGGAAGAGGTTACTCCTCCACCTACCAACTCTGTCCCGAATACTCCAGCTCCGAATCCCCAGCAAATGTTGGAAACCATGCAGCAGCTGGTGGCCCAAAACCAACAGTTACTGCAACTCATGCTTGTTGGACAAGGAGAAGCACAACTTGGAGGTGCACAACATGGAGGACCCCAAGGAGCTCCATGCCCTGGACACCAAAGAGCACCACGCCTTGTTGCTCCATGCCTAGGCGCCCCACTTGGGGGAGCCCAACATGAGGGAGTTCCACCTCCCCCTCCTCTTGCTCCCCATGGAGAGGACCCTTATCTCCAAGAGGATGACGACAAAAACCAAAGCATCGAACATGGAAGTCATTTTCATGATCATTCCAGAGGAGCCCCCAATCATTGGGACAAAAAAAATCAAGGAAGTACAAAATCAACTAGGTGATGTCTTCAATGCCATGAAGGCACAAGAACACGAAACTGTAGACCATCTGGTAAGGCGTACGGATACGCCTTTCAAGCCTGATGTAGCAAACTACCCCATTCCTCAGAAGTTCAAAATGCCATCTGTGGAGACGTTTGATGGAACAAATGATCCACTAGACCACCTCGACACTTACAAGACTTTGATGCAGCTGCACAATGTACCAGACGAAATCATGTGCAATGCATTTCCAACCACATTAAAGGGGTCTACCCGACAGTGATTTGCTAAGCTCTCCCCCACCTCCATTGCCTCCTTCGCTGAGCTTAGCAGATCATTTGTTTCACATTTCATTGGAGGGCATCGCCACCAGAAGCCTGTTACGCACCTACTTAGTATAAAATAGGACCCGCGAGAAGAGCCTGAGGAGTTATCTCACTCGTTTTAACGAGGAGGTACTCCAAGTTGATGAGCCCGATGACAAGGTGACGATGACCGCTTTCTTGGGTGGCCTTCG